GTCCTGAGCACGGGCCCTGGTTGGCTTGCGCTGGGATATTCACCCCTCAGCTCTAGGGTAGGAAATGATTCCAGAGGTAATCCTTGTTTCCTTTGTTCCTGGCTCTGCCACTCGCTTGCTGTGAGCCTGACAGTGGCTGCTCTTTCTGACCCTCGGTCTCGGTCTCGGCATCTGAGGAATCACCATCCCCCGCCAGTGCTGACGGGCTGAGCTCAGGTCAGAAGCTTTCCCGGTTCTGGCTGCGCCCTCGGAGCTCACAGGGTACTATCTTGCTTCTGTCCCTTTCACGTATTTTAAAACACTGTCTTCAAACTTGATCAGAAATGATGTACTCAAGCCTCCCAGGTGACTCGTCATGGTGACATATCCTTTTTGAATATTAAAATTACATTTCTGTGAAACCATGTGGCCAACGGACTGTCCCTTAAATAAATGCAATCTCTCTTACATTATCAGCAAATTACTTCAACAATTACACTTGCTACTGTGGCTACCTCTGAGTTTCTCAAAGGCTCCTCTGTATTTGATTGCTGGATAAATATTTAGAAGACTTGAAAAGGCTAATTTCAGATTTGAGCCTTCGCTGTTCAACCATTTATATTTCCAGGCCTTCTAGACAGTTCGAATTCTCTTTTGTGAAACCTAGTGCGGTTCTCGCATTGATGCTATTTACATTTCTTTTGTAATGTGCCGCAGGTTCATAAAACTTTCCATTTAAAGTTTTGATGGGATTAGCTGCTTTTAATTACATCTGAAGAGTCCCTTGCCAAATAATGATTAAAACCCACAGAAACGGAACGGTTGAGACATAAGCAAAGCAAAACAGAACTATATGGAAACCACTTCAATTCGTGAAACAAAAGTACATCCATTTAATTTGTACGTATGTGGAGGATTTAATTGAAATAGAACAAAAGATACATAAGGTGAGAAAGGTAGATAAGAGAACTTTAAAACGTGTGAGTTCAAATGCTGTGTTTTTTGTGGTTGTTGAGTTTTAAAAATCAGAGCATAACAGATTTTTCTGGGGAAGTTTTTGGAGTAAAAAATAAAACGCATATATAATTACGGTTCAGCAAGAATTGCATTTGCTGCCTGTTGAGCAAACTCAGTTGGATTTACTAAACCAGTGCTCCCGCCCCCGCCTGTGAGTTCTGTGCAGCGCGAGTCCTCGCGGGCCCCACTGCTTCAGCACTTAGGTCTCCTGTGTGTCCCCTTCGCAGGAATCTGCTCTCTCCTCTTTGGCAGCGGGTCCCCCAGCTTTCAGGATCAAATTCCAATTCGCATCCTCGGTGGACCCCAGCACCTTCCTGACTTTCTCTGGCTTCTCTCCCAGCTTCCCCCACCCACCACAAACCCCCTCTCCTCCAGCCACGAGCACTTCCCGGGCATAGGCCCCCACGCCTTCTGCACTCACTCACTCACTCACTCCCTCACTCCCTCACTCATTCAGTTATTCAGTCATTCATCCCACAAATAGGAGGGGCGCTCTGCCTAGCGGTAGGGATGCATTGGGAGCCAGAAAGAACCCCCACCCCCACCCCGGCCCTGCCCTCAGGGGGTTCCAGGCAAGTGGAGGAACCAGCCTTCGGGTGATGGCCCTGGTGGGTGATGCAGAGGTGACACACGGTGACAGAACCCTGGGAAACATGGGGACGTGATCTGGCTGGAGAGCGGGATGCTTCGCGGAGCAGCAGGTACCTGGGCGAAGACAGAGCAGCAGGGGCAGGAGCAGGTGTGCCAGGAGCTGCGGGGTAGGGCCCGCAGAGAAGCCTGTGGGCCGGGCGGGTCCAGAGGGAGGAGAGCAGTGCGGCCAGACTCCTCAGAGGGGGACAGACAGGCCCGGTCACAGGTCCCCTAAGGAGCGCAGGGTTGTCCTGCGAGCCCTCCTCTCCTCCCACCGTCTTCATCACGTGGGGCTCAGCCTGGGTGTCCATCCTTGGGGAGCCGTAGGCGCCCGCCCTCAGAAGGGCAGTGTCCTCCCTCTGTGGGGGGCTGGCCGGCGGGGAAGCAGTGCCACTCACCAGTGGGCGGCTTTGCGCGTGCGCGGTGCGTGTAGACAGGTAGCTGGGCCTTGGAGTCTAGTGTCTCCCCGAGGGTGGCCCGATCTCCAGCCCCCATCAGGAGCCCCCTCCCCCCCGAGAAGACCCCTCCCTTTTAATTCAAACCAAAGGCCAGCTTGTAATTTCAGACGGCAAGGAAATGCCGGGTATGAGGTGGGAGCACGTGGTTTGCAGAGAACTCAGCCGTGACTTGGTCCACGCCACGGTGCCATCCTGACTGGTCGGCCTGCCCAGCCTGGTGCTCCGATGATGGGATTATTAGAGGGATCCGAGAGGGGGGCTGTTCCCTCGTGGGGGAGGGGGGAGCAGGGGGCAGGAGGGAGGAGAGGGAATCCCAGCTGCTAATTGGGGCCTAGATGGAACAAATTGCCCCTCATCACAGAAAGGGATTGTATTTCATGTCGAGGGAAAGGAGAGATTTGCCTACAAATTAGGCTGCAAACTGCAGAGGAGGAATCCGGTGCTGCCAGGCCTGCGAGCCAGGACGCTAACGAGATGCGACAAGAGGAGAGGGGTGGGCGCTCCGACCCCGAAGGCAGCGTTTCTCCCCGTTGCCCTCCGGGCCCTGGAAGCTGTGATCAGTGCGCATTGCCTTTCTGCCGCTTCTCTCTGGAAAAACCCCGGCGCTGTGGCTGCCTGCGGGGGTGTCTCCAAGTCCCTCTGAAGATTGGATTCTGTCCGTAGAAGCACGAGTGGTCTCACTCCTGGACGGCCGAGGTCAGACTCGCACCTCTGCAGGCTGTGCCCACCCAACCCCCCCACGGGAGGTCGTCTGTGTTTTGTTACCTTGAGCAGCAGAGTACATTCACTCCCAGGCCCCACCCCAAAAATATAAAAATAAAGTCACTATTAAGGGCCCAAATACAGGAGCGTGTGTAAGGTACTTTTCGAAAACTATCCACTTTAACAAATGACATTGAGGAAATACGTAAGAAACTAAATTCATTGTCAGATTATTGTTCTGTATATACTTTTTTTGCTCTAAAATGCTCAAGGTGTAGGTGGTGAACAGCTATGATAAAGACACTTCTTTTTTTCAAAGCACAAAGACAATGTAATTTAATGTCATTCCAGACTGATTGGAGCGAACATGTAGATGACTGGAAATCTGCCTGAAATTAATGCCAATTATTGGGTCCCGACTTTAGGTTATGACCCACGCTAGGGTCACCGAGGGTATCCAAGGGGGCTGCAAGATTATTTATAAAAACAAAACCAAACTCGATATGTTATCTTTACTTCAGAGCTGCCTAGTTCTCGGGCTGGGGGAGGGACGGGTTTACAAAGAGGAGGGAAGGCCCTTCTGACCCCCTACCCAGGAGGGGGGGCGGGCAGCAATGCCACTCTGGTCAGGGCAGCGACAGGTACCTACACCAGGGACAGGTGTCGGCTTAGGCTCCATTGATTCGGAACAGGGTAGAAACATAGGTGTCATCTTGCGTGACCATTCTGGACAGAAAATGAAGGCACTTGGAGAATTGTATTGGGAGGGAGACTGAGGCACAGTGGGTCGGCCATGGTTACTGATGAGTGACGGCTGCCTTGGCACAGCGGTGGGTTCTGGTGATGCCCAGTGGGTCAGGTATTCCTCATCCCAATTCAGACTCTCGGCAGCAGGGGGAGACACCCCCCCCTCCCCACGACAGCAGCACCACGGGTGACGAGTGGCCGCTGGTTAGACGGAGATGGGCGGCAAGAACTTCCTATCAGCCCACGTGCAAGTCTGACCAGACTCAAGGGAGCGGTGGGCAGAGCTGTGGGGAGGCAGGCAGGGCCCTCGGGGTGCCCGCCAAGGTTGAGTTTAGGTAACTCTCCCTATAGAGGCTAGACAATTAAAAACAAACCGACAAAAGGACTCCAACGGAGGCTGGCGAGAAAAGCTGCAGGATGAGGGAAAGGGAACAACATGGTGAAGACTAGAAAAACGATTCCCTTCAGCTTCTGGAGGAAATGTTTAGAAAGACGATAAAGCTGCAGAAATAGGCTCAACAACAAGCAAAATAAAAACCAAACAGGGTCTCACTCCAAGGAGAGACCAGGCTGAGGTGAGGAGACAAGGGAATGAGAAGAAATTCACTGGCTTTTTTTTCTACAAGTTTATTTTGTTCTTTTGTCCCTGACTGGTTAAGTCTTTTGTTTCCAATATTTTCTGTTTCCTGGTACATTAGTTAAGATGACCACATTGCTCCGAGCACCGATTTGGCTGCATCCCGTAACTTTTGCGATGCCACATTGAAAACAGTCTGAGATTTTAGCTTTGATATTCTCAGGTATCCAATTTATTTAAAAGAAAATATTAAAATATTTTCTCTGAAGGGGATTTTTTTTTTGCTGTCTTTTGACTGTCACTTTCTAGTTTTATTACATTGTGATCAGAAAAATAAATGCTGTTTTTACTTTTTGGAATTTATGAGCTTTTTTCCCTTGAGGAAATATTCTGTAGGTTCTTACTTATGACTGCCCTCTATGAGCTGTTGATTAGGGTAGAGTTTTCCACTATGTCATTGGATTTGCTAATATCTCCTTATTTTATTTTTTATCTTATACTGCATTACTATTTAGGTGCTATAATAATGACTCATCCAAAGGTTTCTACCTTTTGTTGATCTCCCTTGGTCATGTCTAATATTTTCATTTCCAGGCATGTTTTTGGGAGACTAATGTTGATATCGATGTATTGAACCCAGTTAGTAATTAACTGGAAAGGAGCAAAGGGAAGGCCGACTATTATAGGCACGCCCAGTGAGGCCTTGATGACATAGGACAGGTCACACCTGGGAGCAGGTCATTGGCCAGAATAGGTGTGGTCACTGCAAGGGCGAGAAATCTCAGATATTAGATACATAAGCTCCTGAATGAAGGATCTCTCTCTCTCTCTCTTGCTGAGCTGATGGGGCCAGAATAGGTGTGGTCACTGCAAGGGCGAGAAATCTCAGATATTAGATACATAAGCTCCTGAATGAAGGATCTCTCTCTCTCTCTCTCTTGCTGAGCTGATGGCTCTCCTGTTGCAGGGGTGTGCTCCCCTGCATTTGCCCACATGGCTCACAGCTACATGGACCCCACACAGTGGACGAATGGACTGCAACTAGTCGGATGCTGCATGGGGCCCCGCTCTGCCATGGAACAGACGCTCTGGACACTGGCTTTGCTTTCAGCTCTGCTGGCCCCCCAGCTGCACATTTTCCAGGACTGGGTAAAGGGAAATGGGACTTTGGAAACTGAGGGCTATAACTCCACACAAATAAAGCTTCTACCACATCTCACCCTCCCCCCGGCGGGGGGGCGGGGCGGGCTCTGGAAATCCTTATTCCTGTGGTACCCCAAGAATTTCACTCCCCCCCTAGCAAAGGAGAAGAGCCACCCACACATTTCTCCATTAACAATATCATCATATCTAGTTCCTTTTTTTATTTTATTGATTTTTTACAGAGAGGAAGGGAGAGGGATAGAGAGAGTTAGAAACATCGATCAGCTGCCTCCTGCACACCCCCTACTGGGGATGTGCCCACAACTAAGGTACATGCCCTTGACCAGAATCAAACCTGGGACCTTTCAGTCCACAGGCCGATGCTCTATCCACTGAGCCAAACCAGCTAGGGCATCTAGTTCTTTTTTGAAAGCATTTATCTGGTATATTATTGTCCATCCCTTTGTTTTTAACCCTCTGAATAATTTTGTTGAAAATGTGTCTCTTTTAAAAATCAACATAGCTTAATTTTTTTTTTTTTTTTTTTTTTTTTTTTTTTTTTTTTTTGCCCAGTGTCCTGTTTCTTTCAGCAGGAGGGATTTGGAAATGTGCTCCTAGGATGGAAAAGTTCAAGTGTACCCAAAAGAGAACAATGCATGTCACTCTGCTTCCAACGCAATCAGTTCCCACCAATTTGGATGATTCTGAAACAAGTTTTTTAAAATTTGAAAGAACTAACAGCAGGGGTTTTTTATTACAAATGGAATGACTCAGGGTAAGGGAAAAAATTAATGCTGATATTAAAAATGTTTTTTACATTATGCCTCTACTTAGGCATAATTTCCTGACAAATGCCTGAGGTACCAGTCTTACCAATGAATAAATGTTCTGTAGATTGTTACTTATGATTGCTCTATGTGATCTGTTGATTGGGCTAAAGTGTTCCACTATGACATTGGACTTGCTACTATCTCCTTATTTTTCTTTTTTGTTGTTGTTTTTTGTTAATTCTCACCCAAGGACATTTTCCCATTGATTTTTAGAGAGAGTAGAAGACGGGGGCAAAGACACAGAGAAACATCGATGTGAGAGAGACACATTTACTGGTTGCCTCCCCCACACACCCTGACAAAGATTCATGGAAAGGTTGCTCCCTTTTGTCAATTTCCTCTCCCTTTGTCATGCCTCATATTTTCACTCAACCCTCACTTTTAAGTTTACCGATGAGTTTTTCTAATTTCTTTATTGCTTTTCCTCAGATCTCATATTTTCCTTTTGTCTTAGATTTGTGTTTTAAATTTGTTTTTTTTATTTTTCAGAAGATATCCTCTAATAATTCGTATAGAAAGAGAACTTGATTGATAAATTTTCAGTGTATAATATTTTTCCCATCAATAGAATTCCAGTTGAAAATACTTTTTCCCTCTGAATTTTAGAGTTACTGCTTTGTTGTCTTTTTGCATCTGGGTTACTTCTTCTTCCTTTATAGGTAAAGAAATTTTCTTTTTGGTGTTGGAGTGTGCAGTCATTTATTCATAAGCAAAGTTGGTTGAAGCATAGTAGAGCAACAGAGAGATGCTTCCAGGTAGCTAGAGCTCAGAAATTTTAGCACCTCCTTACCTGACTTTAAATGTTGACTTGAAGACACACATCAGCCACCTGAGAAGGAATTAATTGACAATTCAGGTGATTCACCATCTGTCACCTTCTCCCCTGGCTGAGTACAGGCGCCCCCTGGATTGGCCTCTGCATGGATTATTTGTCCTCCGATTCTGCTCCACAGGAAGATCTTGGCCCCATGGTATCTCAAGCAAACATTTTCCTTCTACCTTTGTTCTCTTCCCACTTGGAAGGATGTGTTTTCAAGCTCTGTCCTTTACCCTTGAAGTTCAAACGAAATGTCTTTTCTTTCGTAGTGATCGCTTAAAGCAACAATTGGGCCTTCTGTTCCAGCGGTTGCTAACGTTGACTAAATATTTTGCCGAGAGACATGGAGAGACGCTAAGTCTCATGCCGGTAGCTCCCCCCCACCCCCCGGCCCACCGTCGGAATTGCCCGCCTCCCACTCCTGCTTCAGAAGGGCCTCCCTGTTTCCTCTGCCCTCGTCCAGTTGGAAGTAACTCACTGCCCCTCTGTCTCACTTTTCTTGAAGAACTTGTCATCTTCTCAATTGGCTGAAGGTAAAAACGACTTGGGAATGATGGAAGAGTTCAAGTTATATTTTTCGTTTTTTGGACTGAGAATGTGAATAATTAAAAGACAAACACAAGCTGGATTTGTCTTTAATGAGATAGACTCAGTTTCGACTTCATCCCTGGTGGAAAACCAAAAGGAGACAGAACTGAGAGCCACGAGGTACGGCCTCCAGCTGAGAATAACAAGGCCTGTGTTATGTTGTCCACTCCATCCTCAGCGCTGCCCAGTCCGGGATCCATCCTGCTATTTTCATAACACTTCAAATGACTTCACATCTGCAAGTAATTAGTTGCAAAATAATCTGTCTTGGGACTGTGGGCTGGAGAAGGGTTGGGCAATAGGAGTTCCCACTGTGGTCTAACCATGCGTAAACCGTGCTCCTTCTGCCTCTGTCCACTCATACAGCCATAAATAGAGCTGTAAACATAGGTCGTGGATATGGCTAGTCCTGCGAAGTCATGCACAGAGCCCTGGGGCAGCTCATCGTCCATGAGAACAGCACCAAGAACAATACGCACGTTTATAGAGTGTGTCACGTTTTACAGAGCTCTCTCCCTTCATGATCTTCATTCTTTTCCACAGCAAGCTTGAGAGGAGGAGAGGGTAAGATTTCAGTCTGAGACATGAGGAGCCCATCGTCATTAAGCTACTTGTTGGTAGGCGACATGATTTGTTTTGTTAGTGTTTTTGGAACTGTTTTGTTAACAGTTGATTACTGTAGTAACACACACAGAAGTGCAAACAAAATCATCACCGATGGCTTGATGAGCCATTCATGCACCCAGTTCCCAGGCCAAGAAGCAGCACCATGTCAGTACTATGGTGCTCTTTCCCAGACACCCACCCCCAAGGGTGACTACCATTCCGGTTCCTAAAGAGGGGACATGTTTATTTAAATTAATTTTGTACGGAGGGTGAACTGGGGCCTTGCAATGCATGGCTGCCTTACACGTGTGCTTGATCCATCAGGAATTCATCTTCACACACTGAAATGCAATGCACACGAGGGAATGCTGATGCAATGAGGGTGCTCCAACCTGCAGCAGGTGCCTCGGACCTGGGACTTAATAGCTCGATCGCACGAAGGCTGGATGTCTGCAACATCATAAGAGGCTTTCTCCACAAAAAGAGAAAAATACCTTTCTCCCATTCTTAGAACGTTGTGGATAAAGAGGGATCCATTTCTTTCTCGATCTTCCCCAGAGGCAAGGAATGGACAAGGTGATTTTTCAAGAGGGTTTTCTTTGCCTTTCCATGTTTGGCTGAGCAGTGCTATGTTTCCACCGAGGGGATCAGGGAAGTGAGGTTTGCTGGGATGGGAGGCAGTGTCTAATTCGCCTCCCTCCCGTGGAGGTAAGGGTGTCCCCAGGGATGAAGCCTTTGCTTGCTGCGTCTCCTTCAGAAAAGGCTGAGGGTAAGTGTTCCAGCTGGGCTCCCCAATCAGATGGATTCTGGAAGCTTCCCCTCTCATGTCCTCACCATTTTTCTCCTACCATCTGGAGCATGAGAAACCAACGGGCAACCAGCGACTTGTTTGGAAAGGTTTGGGGCTCATGCACACAGGGGAATGTGCCCAGGTTCAGAGCTGCCTCCCGTGGGATCCGAGCCTTCAGCAAGGGCTGTGTTGGCGTGGCCGCCATGAGAAGAGCTCTGCTCTCTCATTGGAGTGTGTGTCCCTCTGCTTCACCCCAGACCCTGAGCTCAGAGCAGAGGAATGTTTACATGGAAAGGGACTGCCAAGGTTTTAAATTGCATCCATTAAGAAACGAATTATCCTCTTAATCGCTCTTTGTTTCATTCCTCAAAAGATTAAAATGCTTTTTAATTTAATAAAGTTTTGAAAAAACTTTATTTAGGTAAGTTTATAATTTTACGAAAGTGTGTTCAGAGACGTGAGAACACCCAGGGAACTCGAGGATGCTGAGAATGGCCTATTAAGGTCTCACTCGTGTCTCATTTCTAAGACACAAGGACACAGCTCTCCTTCCAAGCACTTGGGCCATTTTCCCTCCATCAAATCAGTTAAGTCAGGGTGTAGGTTGAAATCTTGGAAAAAAAGTTGGCATTTGTCTTCTTCAAAATATTGACACTCTACAGACATACCTGCTTAGAGAGAAAGACTGCTTTTATTCCCTTTCTCGCCTAATTTGTCCTGAGAGGCGTGAAAATGTAGGTCACACGTGGAATCTGCAGCGTCAGTTCTGACACGGGTGAACATAGGACATGGGCATGTTCATGACAAATAAGTTTGTAAGTCATTTTGCCCGCGTTTGGAAGGGAGGACAGCAGGTCCTGGTTGGTGCTACCCTAACCGGTCCCTGTCTGTAGAACCTGGGATTGGCAGCTCTTCGCTCATCTGAAAACACGACACAGAGCTGGCGGAAAAGCAAGTACTCATGTGCAATAATCCCTTCAGCCAAATATTCCAAACGATCTTTCAATAAGCCATTATTTAATCACAAATATTTAGAATGCAAACCTGACTTGTTGTCCCAAGGTGCTCTAGACTGAATGTTTGTCTCTCTCCCCCTGGCCCCCCGAATTCATATGTTGAAATCCTAACCCCCAACATGTGGGTTAACGGTAATAGGAGGTAGAGTCCTTGGGAGGTGAGTAGGTCACAAGGCCAAAGCGCTCATGAATTGAATTAGTGCCTGAGAAAGCTCTCTGGCCCCTTCCATTGTGTGAGGCCATAGCTAGAAGGTGCCACCTAGAAGCCAGGAAGCGGATTAAAATAGGGCTTTAACTTGCCAGATAGAAAGGCCAATTTGTTTTAACACATTTGTTATTAATTTTTATTGCATTGTAATGAGAGAATGTGTTTTTTTAATTTTGTTTTGTGAAACATATTGAGGCCTTCTTTGTGAACTAACACATGATCAATTTTTGTGAATGTTCCATGTATATTCTATCACAGTGGAGAGATCAATATTTTAAATATATGTTAAATCTGCATTATTGTTTTGTTTGTGTCTTTTATACCCTTATGTTTTGCCCACTTGACCTTGATTTATTCCTTGTTTCCTCAGACCTCTTTAAGTTACTGAAATCAATTTTTATTGATTTCAAAAACAAGGGAGATGAATAGAGAGATAGAAACATCAGTGATGAGAGGGAATCATTGATCAGCTGCCTCCTGCATGCCCCACCCTGGGGATCCACTGATACAAAACATGGTCTTGTTTTGTACTGTTACTATGGAAAAATCTGATACCAAATTGGTATTTCTTTTCTTTGTAAGTGACTTGGTCATTTTGTTTGGAGGTCTAGATTTTTTCCCCCTTTTTCTTTAAAAATCTAATACTAGGCTTAGTAGGCTATATCTTGAAATTGATTATTCTGAATGAGTCTTTCTAGATACACAATGGACCCTTTCATTATATAAATGATGTAAATATATGTAGTTTTTATCTCTGGAAAATTTTCTTGGATTATAGTTTTAAATATTGGTTCTATTCCATTATTTTACGCCAATTACCATGTTTCTCTTTTATTAGTGTAGATTAGATCTTTTAAATTATCATCTACCTCAACCACTTTCTCTCTGATTCTTGTTATATGTTTTTCTATTGTGTTTTTATTATTATGATTGTTTTTATGCCTTTCCTGAATATTTTTTATTAAATCTATTTTCTCTTGGGCATATTGTGATTCAATCATAATTTCTAAGATGACTTTGTCTTTTAAAAATTTTCTTCACTGATTTTTAACCATTTATTTTTTGAGTTTTAAAATCTCTCAGTTAGGCTGTCTCCCTGTCTTTCCCATCTGTAAATGCTTGTTTAAGGATATTTAATTCAAATTGGAGTGTTGACATTTTCTTCTGCTTTGTTATTGTTTTGGAGGGGAGAATGTTCATCAGCTAAAAGTTTTGATATTTATGTCCTCTTTTTTTTGGGGGGGGGGACTTTAAATGAGTATTGGGATGTTTACTTTTCATTGAATTTTTTTTTTCTTGGACTAGCAATAACTGTCATAGGTAGATTGAGGTGAGGGGGTGAAGGTTTAGATTATACCTGAGATTTCTTTTTTTAAAATATTTTTTTATTCATTTCAGAGAGGAAGGGAGAGGAAGAGAGTGATAGAAACATCAATGATGAGAGAGAATCATCCTGCACACCTCACACTGGGATCGAGCCTGCAACCCAGGCATGTGCCCTGACCGGGAATCGAACTGTGATCTCCTGGTTCATAGGTCCACGCTCAACCACTGAGCCATGCCAGCTGGGCTACCTGAGATTTCTTTACTCCAAAGCTTTCTCTTCTGTTTGCTGATGAAATACAGTTTCTTAAAAAATTCCTCTGTTTTGGGGGATTGTGGTGATATGCCTTCTGATGTCATGATTTTCTTGTTTTTGAAGTACTCTTAATTTTCAGTTCTTCCTTATTTTTTTTACTACTAAATCTCTGAAGGTTGCTCTTTCCAAGTTATCCCTTCTCCCCAGAACTGGTACTTTCCCAAGATTTCACCTGTTTTTGTTTGTTTGTTTGCAGACTTTTAAATTCCTCCCTTTTGATTTGTCAGTAACCAGTACCTTAATCTACCATGTCTCATACCGGTGTTCAGATTTTCCCATTTCGGGGAGACATTCTTTTTCTGGGAGTTGTTGTATCTGTTTTTCCACACCTAGACCCCTGTTTTTCTTCCCTTTTTTTCTGAACTGGCTCTTCCGAATTGGATTATTTATCCACCTTCTTGGACGTAGTTTGAAGTTTGTAGTGTTCTTTGTCTGATAGTTGTGCTACGGGCACAGATTCAAATGGTTTTAGTTGCTCATCTTGTTGATCTGTATGGTTTTCTGGAATATTTATGGATATATTCAGAATATAGAATATTTATTTCCTTTTTATTTTTTCCCTTTTCCATCCTTTGTCTGTACATAATTTTATATGGTTGTCATCACAGGTCGATTCAACTTTGCTTCTTTTTAACAATATTATTTTAATTTCCCCAATTTCTTTCATAATCTTATTATAGATGCTATCATTATTTGTGAACAGGCCTATCATATTTTGCCAAGTGGATATGTCATGCTATATCTTATTGCTTTTCTATTGTTGGATATTTACATTGGAAAGGCATGTTACAAGTATGTTTGGTATCAATAAATTCATTTTGAAGAGATGAGCACTTGGCTCAGTAAGCATGTAATAAATCTTTGTGGAATCAGTGATTCAAAAGAAAACAAAAACTGGACAAAACTGCCCAAATGGGAAGAAAATTCAAGTGTCCTTTAAAATGTTAAGTTAAAATATGTAAGTCCCACATTCTACAGGAATTTCATTAACTGGTTAAGACTTCACTTGAGGCATAGCAGAATCCAGTGCTCTGGGAATGTCAGACTGAACCAACTGGATAATTAAGTTCAGTTTCTGGTGGTGTCAAATGCAACAACTGTGTCTTAGAGTGAAGGTCATGGAAAAGTGCTTCATTCTGAGGGTAACTTGTATTCATTCAGGCTGACTCCTGGGGATCAGTAACCGTGTGACCTCGTCATTTGGTCCCCTCCCCTTTGCATGGGTGGTGGCGAGTGAACCAGGGCAATGAATGAGGCTCGCTGCTCTGGATGTGGTCAGTCTCCATAAATCATTTCTTCCATTGTCTGAATACGTTTGGGCATCCACGGTAGTTTATTTCCAAAGTATATAAGGAAGCAGAGGCCAAGGGTGTAATCTTGGAGCGATTTAAACAGAGTGGTTCCCGTCAAGACAAGCAGCTGTTCCCAATTATTAGCCCATATATTCTAGGTGCCAGGGAAAGCCCACAAGGGTGTCACTAAATTGAGTTTTAAAGTGACCCCTGGTCAGATGAAAATCTCCTAGCTGTGTATGCTCCCCACAGACTGGCCTCCTGTTGGACAAGTTCGCAGCACTCTTGTTGTGAGTAAATCATTGCTGCTGCCTGCAGAGGAAACCTGCTTCAGTCCACAGGGCTTCCGAGGAGCCCACGTTTACCTTCCAGGGGCTCTCCTGTAAACGCTGTTGGACTGAAAACCTGAGCACAAGGATGAGTCAGAAATCTGCAAAAAGAGCAAACGCGAATGATGAGTGACTGTAATATTTTAGACTCATGTGGGTTGTGTTAAAACATGATTCCCAGGGGTGCCTGGTTCCTGGATGGTCCCTGTAGGAACAGGGACTTGTGATTGACTTGTAATTAGGGAAACGGGTCTTTCTCTCTTTGGAGTAAATCGCAGGGATAGGAGTAACTTCTGCCCTAGAAAACATGAACCGCCCCCCTCCCCCCGGCCCTCACCCAAAAAAGAATGACAAAGCATTTTTCCACTGCAAAAATCTTCCCAATGAATGCCATACACTCCCGTGTGACAGAGAGTAAGCTCTGGGTCACAGTGCCTGGGTTAAGTCTCGCCTTCAGCACTTAATACACAGTGCAACCTAGAGCAACTTAGTTAATTAACCTTTTTTTTTTAAAATCTTTTTTGTACCTGTAAAATGGAGATAATCAAATACCAACTTAATAGGATTGTTGTGAGGATTTAATGAGGTCAGCCATTAAGAGTGCTTGCCAATGGTGATGGATGGGGACTTGAGTTGGGGTGGCGAACACGCAATACAGATTACAGATGACGTGTTGTGGAATCGTGCACCTGAAACCTGTGTAATTTTGTTAGCCAGTGTCACCCCAATACATTTCATAAAAATGAGAAGGAAAGAGTGCTTGCCAAAGGGCCACTTATACCCTTCTCTTTGGTATCATTGACTATTGTCGTTCCTCTCAAGTGATATACAGGGTGTCCCCCCAAAATGTATGCACACACTTTGAATAGTTATAAAGGCAGTGTTTATTGAAATATGTTTCATTTTAAAAATTGAGCTATCAGCTGTTAAAGTGTGTCTACATTTTGGGGGACACTCTGTACATATATATATACACACACATTGCTTTCATTTATCGGTTCCCTGTATCGCATGGAACATGGATTATTTAAGTGATTCAAG